TAGCCTACTCAAAACATCCCGAATGTTTGTTTTCCCCATTTTTCTCACACATATTGTATACTTATTTAAAATCCATGCTTAACAGTCTCTAACCTATGTTTAATACACTTAATTTAAACTCACAAAAATCTATTTTGAACTTAAAATAAAACAACCCATAAAATTAACTAAAACAACCCATTAAATTAAATTAAAACAACCACTAATTTAAAACAAAACAGCTCACACATATACATACATACTAAAATTAATCACACACACATGCTTGAACTTAATCCCCCGTACCTTGATTTTGCTTTCCCTCTCTTTCTCCTTGTTCTCGGTTCAAGTAGACACACACCTATATTTCCTTTTCTTTGTTTTTACTCTCCCTCTCTCTCGGTTTTTTTGCTCACGGTTCAAGAGCCACACACCCATATATATTTTTCTCCTTTCTCTTTTGTTCACCCTCACTCACGGTTTCAGCAATCCAAAACACACACACACACACACACTGGTTTATGTGTTACACACACACACACCCTCCTTTACACTTTACACTACACACATACACATTTCTACACCTTAATACACACACACACAACCCTTTAGCCATAATAAACCCATAGTTTGACACCTATTAGGAGACTCAGCCCTTTTTGGGTAAATATGTTTGCCCCTCCCCCAAGTTTTTAAGTAACTTCGAAATCGACCCATTATTTTTTCCACACATGAAATTCTATAAATAGGTCTCACTAATACATCACTAATAGGGTCCACATATCCAATGTATGCTCACACACATCATGCTTATGGAAGATTTAATTTAATTAATCCTTTAATAATTTCACATAATTACAATTTAGCCCACAAAATTATGCTAATATGCATACAATGCATGATCGGGTCTCACAAAAATTCAATTTCAATCACCACTATAATGTTCTTCTTTCTATGTGGAGGTGGGAAAAAAAATTAATTTTGTTCTTATAGTAGAAGTGATTCTTTTCACCTTCATAAAGTGAAAAACAAATTGAAGTTTATTCGCAAGGCCTATCATAGGACTTAACAACAGCCTCTTGGGTATATTCACTGCCCTCTCCATATCATATATAATGTGCCCCCAACAAATGCGTCCTAAGAGCTCAGCCATTTCCAACCAGTCACCCAAATCAGCATTTGTGCCCGCGAGCACAATCAATTTTGTTAGTCACAAATTCAATGAAAAACTTGGTGCTAAAATTAACTTTGGTACGAAAAAAATGGAGTCTGTGCAGTGCATTCTTTTTGGCGTAGCATGATTGAGATTTATACAATCAAAGATGACGTCACCTATAAGGAAAATGGCTATCTGAATGGTCAAAATGGCTAGTTGACTCTCTCACTCTCTCTATCAAAATCTTTAAACCTTCACTTTTTGATGATGTAAAATGAGATGTCCCTCGAATCTCGCATGAGCAACTATTAAGCTTAAGTTATAAAGGATACAAATAGAACCTTTAAAATATCAGTGTCAGCTGTACTGGAACAATAACTACATAATACAGCTTCTTTGATAACTCTACATATTTCAGACGAGCCCTTGTGAAATCAACTCATATCATCAACATGAGATTCCTAATAATGCAATAGTGAAAGAAATCACATCATCTGGATAAACAACGGTTACTGTCATGATATTGCTTGAATCGGACAAGCTCAAATTAAAAGTTATTACGTCCTAGACTCGGACAGGCCATCATATCTCTGTCTTGGGCAGTAATAAAATCAACCATGAGCTCTTTTCAAGACTAAAAATTTCAGCAAAAAACTAGAGCCTGTGAAAGACAGTTCTACAAGAACATTAGACCCAACGGTTGAAGTAGAGCACATCCTAACCCACAGACTGATGACCTAATTATGGACTGGAATTACCAAAACATTATCCATGACTCATAAGTGGGCCCAACTTTACTGCTTCATGTCATAGCTGGGAACACTTCTCAACTTCTCTGTTTTCTAACTCCAGAAAAGTTAATGCCATTTGAGGCAATTCTGTTGTAATAAATAATTTTTTTAAAGACTTGAGGGTAACCACTTTGTGCTTATAAAGTTGAAGGTTAGATATGCACCCATTTTTCCCTTTGAACCAACATATTAGATAATGGGCATATACGTGCATATTAGGACTGAAAAATCGGCTGGCTGGAGCATTGTTGGTGTTGGAGAGGATGCCTAACATAAAACTGGGGTGATGTTCAAAGCTTCCCTTACCTGTTTTTTGGAAAGATGCGTTTAAATGTGTAAGATAACTTATTGAAAAAGCCTGAGATTTTTGTTTTGGCTTTTTTTTTTTATAATGGTAAGCCTTGTTAAGAGTGATATGTAATGAGTGGTAACTAACAATCTATTATAGATTCCACATATTCAAACAAGCAGTAGATTTAGCACATAGATTCAACATATCCATTTAGCAAAAGAAGAGGGAATTAGAAATATGAAATATGGATGACTGATTAGCCTTAAAAAGAAGTGTTACTTGGTGGGAGGGGGTGAAGTTTCTCTAGCGGTGGAGAGCTAGAAGAAGAAGAGGGATTACTATGTAAAGTTATGAGATTTTTCTAGGTTGCTATGTGATTACCGGGAAAGTTAAATTTTGGATAAAGGGTATAAAATTAAAGGGGATAATGACTAAATGCAAAAATTACAGGAATGATTTATCAACAAAAACTCATTACCTGATGAAGCAGAACAATGATGGTTGTGTCATGTCAAGACACAAAAGTCAACCAACGTTTGATAGAAAAGGGTGAAGGACGAAGGGAGATGGTAAATAGGATTTTTTGGACACCCTGCTTTAGCCCAGCCTAGCCATCGGCGAACGGGCAGGCGGAGGTTATCGTTAGAACCATCCTCCGCGACTTGAAGACCAGATTGGAGAGTGCCAAGGGGCGATGGATGGATGAGCTCCGAGGAGTTCTATGAGTTTACTGAACAACTTGAAAAAGCCCTACGAAAGAGACCCCTTTCTCCTTAGCCTATGGGGTAGAGGCGGTCATACCAGTCGAAATTATGGTACACTCCCTTAGGGTCCAACACCATGACCTTACCACAAACGAAGAAGGCCTTCGCATCAACCTCGACTTGGTAGAGGAGGAGAGGGAGATGACTATGCTTAGAAATGTGGTGTACGAGCGTCGTATGACCAAGGATTATAACTTGAGGGTGAAGCCTCGCTCTTTCTTGCCTAGGGACCTAGTCCTCAAAAAGGTCATCCTATCTAACAAGGACTCCTGGGAAGGGAAATTAGACCCCAACTGAGAAGGACCCTACATGGTTACAAAAGTTGTAAGACTGGGCACCTACAGAATTCAGTACTCTGAGGGAAAAATCTTGACCCATCCATGGACCGCGGAACACTTGAAGAGGCACTACCAATAGAAAGGGGCAAGTTAGTGGGTGTACAAATCAGTAACCATGATTTAAATTATCAATTGTTGTTTTAGTCATTTTTTTTTGTTATCTACTTCAAATTATGAAATAAAACATTACAAGATGATCTTTTTCAAAAACTCTCTCATTCCATAGAAATTCATAAATGATTTACAAAAGATAGAACATAACCTAGCGACAAAAAGAGAAGCAAAAAGATAGTCTTAACTTCCCTCACTGCTCCCTGATCCATTCTCATCAAAACTCTCCCCATCATCATTAGTCCCTAGTGCCTTATATGGGACAAAGCTAGAAAATTCAAAAGCAGGGAAAGCTGCTGAGACCTTCCTTTTAAGTTCCTCATAGCCATCGATAAAGGTGCCTGCAATGGCCCTCTCAGTAGCCTTCTTCCTGTTCTCCATCTCAATGGAGTGAGCCTCTACCCTATTTGGTTTTCAATCAACTATTGGTTCTTGCCCCAAAAAATTATGATTTTTGGCACAATCTTAGAATTTTGTATCAAAATTGTGAAGGTTTTATTGATATGATCTTTTATATATTTTAATTCCTTTATTATTTTAGTATATTGAGAATTATGCAATTATGATACTTGAGTTGTTAATGAAAATTATGATTGGTTAAGATTGTGATTGTTGAGAAAGTCATGGTTTCATCTCTTGTATGGTTTGTTGTGACAGACTTTTGAATTGCCTTCGAGAGCTGTTGTAGAGTGTTAGAGGTTAGCCTATCCCAGTAGGGGTGAGATGGTTGTCTAACACTTGTAGTGGATTTTTGTTTGTGAGAGCAACCACTATTGTTCATGTAAGTTCGAGGCTGAGGGATAATATACCTTTTCTTGGAAGAATTCGTCAATGTCGTGGGAGACGGTATACGCCGTTCCTAAAGTGGTTTGTGATGTGCCCTGCGGGGAATGATTGAGATTGTGTGGTTGTGATTGGTGAACGAGGTCGAATCATTGTATAGATTCTTGAGAAGCAACCAATATACATGAGAATGAGGATGAACCTACATACATGAGAATATCGGATGATGTTACTGAGTTAATTATTGATTGCTTTAATTTCTGGAGTGTTTATTCCTGTCATTGATTTACTGTATTCCGTACACTTGAGATCATTACAACTGTCATGATTTTACTCTCAAAAATTTATATATGCTATTTTTCAAAAGACTTGCCTTTTTTTTATTGTTTTAAAAACCTTATTGGGATTTGAGAGGGATTTTCTATGGACTTTTGCTCACCCCCTGCAACACATTACAGATTTTGGCACAGAGGAGGATGTCGAGTTAGAGGAACATGTTAATCTCGAGGCTGGAGAGGGTCTGTATGAGGATCCTGAAACAGAGGCTTAGAGATGCTTCATCTTTGTCTAGATTATTTTATTTGAGAGATTATTATGAAATAATGTTTCAGCTAGTTTTAATTATTCCAATGCTAGATGTTATTTGGTTTTAAATTATAAGTTGGAGAAGTTCAATATTTTATTGGCTTTAGTATTTATTCATTGTCAAATGGATGAATGGTCTATTATTTAATTGTTATTTTTAGTTGCTCTCATGGTTGGATGGTTTGTAGATAGTAATATCTTCTAGGGTGGATTTTGGGGCATTACAGTAGGAGGGATATGATATGAAGATACAATGAGGATGACATCATCATCGCAGTCAATGGTACTGAATATGGAAGTTACCTTCGAGCCGTCATCTCTAGCGATCCCCTTGCCTCGTTGGATGCCTAGGGTAGCTTCCTTCATTATGTCCTTGTCAGAGTGGGCGCCTGCCAGAGTCAAAGTCAATGTCAAAGCCAAGTTAATGTCCAGAAAATACCAACTTCGAAGCAGTATCATCATAATTAACAAATGGGTGAACAGATTCGCCTTACCTTGGGGAAAGATATCGCGCTCCCCCTCCGTGGCAAAGCCAATGACGTTGCTTTGGCTTCTCAACATGCCTACTTGATTCCCCCTAAGGGCACCTAACAGTCTACCACTCGAGCTTCGCTTGCCAGAGTCACCGTCCAGAACCCTATGACTGTTTGCACTAGCGCCGCCAAAGCCTGGGGACTGCCAGGCACGTCCTCTACGCCATCTTTGCCATCAACAACAACAATATTACCCACGTGGCTTGAGACGTCTCAGGCCTGGCCCAAGATCAGCGTCCATCGTCTTGACCTCGCACAGCATGCCTAAGGCATCGCCCCCCTTCTGTCTGGCGTCGTTGCCCTTAAGGGTGTTGCCTTTCTTCTTATCGGCGTCGCCTCCTGCACATGGGGCTTGCATACTACCATTGCCACTGCCCGGGTCTACTCCAAGCCCGATGAAACCGTCGTCACCCGTGGTCCTCACACCCGTCTCCAGCCAGCTGATGACATTTGGCACGCTAGGGGCGCCGCCTAGGTGAGAGAGAAAAGGGCCTCTCAGACTAGCGCCACTAGCATCGCTGCTCCCAGCACCATGGGCACCGCTTTCCAGTACACATAGCGGTCCAGGCACTTCCTCTCCTCTGTTGGTGTCACCTAGTGTCGGCTGACTGGCGTCGCCCAGCCGCCTGTTGGCGCTGCCTGCCTACCTTCCGGCATTATATACAATGCCTTCTGCTCCCTTGGCATTGTTGCTTCCACCATTGTTGCCTTCGTCACCCGCTGATCCGCCTATTGACTCCCTACTCCTCTCCATAGATAGATTTTCTCTTAAAACACTGTCTATGAAATCCCTCTACTCAAATCCCTCCCAACCTTCACTGGAAGCTTCAAATTCTCAAGGAAAAGAGTTGTAAGGGAAAAGTTGTAAAATGGGATCTATAAATACTAGCCTCTTGAGACCCTGATAATGGTGCCCTAAATGAAGAAAATGGAGAATTTAATGGGGAGAGATATAGTTTCCTCAAACCTGATGGCAGTGCTGAGATAAAGTTGGAAAACGAAGAAATGGGTTTACAAGGTAATGACAAACTTCCTTGGGTCAGAAGGTACCTGGTCCGCCTGAGAGGAGAGCTCGAGCTCAGTCATTCCCTCAATCCCTTATCATTGCAAGTGCTTGGGGGCATGAGGGGCAAATGATGAACCTAGATCCAACTGGGTCAAGTCTAATTAATGAGATAAGCCCAAATTAGTTAAAAGACAGGTTAAGCCTAGCTCATGGATTCAGCCTGGTCCAAAGTCCAAGGGATCCAGGAAGATTAGCGCATGTGGGTAGTAATTACAGGGATAACTACCCTCTTAGATCAAGACTATAATTGTAGCTATCCTATTTGTAGCTATACTCCCTGAAAAGCTTGTAACCTACTTATCACCTCAACCAAGGCTCTATGCCTATAAATTGTAATTCCTTTCCACATAAGAGGGGTATCTCTCTAAACACTCTTTACACGACTATCTCTCTTATAGCTACCCAACCTTTCTTAGAGGTTATCTTTGTGCTCTCTGTCTCTGTCTTTCTCTCTTTCTCTCACACACACACACCTTTGACTTTATTAATAAAGTTCTTCGGCCACCGTCAACCCTTCAATGGTTTGGTCACCTCAGCCCAACCACCTATTCTTTGCATTCTGTTATTAATTGCTTTATTGATTGTTTCATTAATTTTCTTGAATTATACAATCAACTGTTGATTGTGCATAAATTCACTTTTGTGCATCATCACTTTCAACAACAACCACTGCTCTCTTCATGAACCTATGCCACTATGAGGTTAACTCTACTAGCCAACCTCAAAACAAAACAACCCATGAGATAAGTCACACAGGTGACAAAGGTTGTGGAAAGTGGGGGAGTGACAAATGAGTGAGGGTTGCAAATGGCTTACACTTTTTTTGAATTGTTGACTAAATTTAATAGAAGACATTGTTGTCCATCTAATTTATTTTTTGGGCGGGGCTATTCCCATGCCATAAAAATTTATTTTTATGTCATTAAGCATCATCCATTAAACTACAAAGTCCATCTTATTCTACACCCATTCCATTTATGATTGAATTCACCCCATTCTACACCCAACATGTTAACAAGTTAAATACCATGTCTCCACTCTTCCATTCATTTCAAACATGATCTATCCTCAACTTCATATCTTTCTACCTAAGTATTTTTTCCCTACCTCATCTTATGCCCCCCAACGCAAAACCAATCTCAGATGACATGGAAAAACCATTTACATGTGTGTGTAAGGTTCAAAACCGTCATTGAATATTCATCTATTGGTTTCCTTCCTTTAGGCATTGTTATAGAAAATATTTATATAATTTGATTATATTAAACTATATAAAGTCTAACTTATGTACTATTTTCTAAACATAATGTATAGAAATTAAAACAAGTGCACTTACATAGACGCAGAACAACACGAATGATAAAATCCAAAAAACCATAAATCCAATAATAAAACAATAATCCGAACCCTGTGTAATCAAAGTTTCCTTAAGACATATTTGCTCCCTCTCAGTGCTTAAGGTTGATAAGCAATTGTCTCCCAAAATAGAATGAATTTTGTTCTTGAAGATGCAGAACTTCAATCTCCAAGACTCCAACAAATACAATTTTGTGTTTATACTTGAACCGAACTTGAAATAATAATGCAGCAATATGCGAAAAGAGAGAGAGAAGAAAGATTGAATACTTAATTCAGTATTTTGGATAATTGAGAGAACTACAATGAGAGAACAATTCTTGAATTGTTCAATGGTATTTTTGGGAGTGATAGGAATCACCTATTTATAGAATCGCCAGTGGCTTTTCATAAAGGACGTAACCATAAGTAATGGTACCTTTTAGTCCAAAGGATATCAATGGTGACTTTATGAAAAAGTATAACCATTGAAATGGTGTCTTTTAGTGCAAGAGATATCAATGGTGACTTTATGAAAAGTTGTGACTATTTGTAATGGTGTCTTTTAACCAAAAAGTGTTAATGGTTACTTTAAGAAAAGATGTAACTATTTGGATTGGTGTTTTTAACCAAAAGTCATCAATTTTGAATTAGTAAACTTTCATATCATATTCACTTCACATCTTTTCCATTACTCCCAAAAGTCACAAAGACTTTAACAACCTTTTCAATTACTCCAAAAAGTCACTAAGACTTTTATAATTTCTCTTTTACTACTTAATGGTTTTTTTTAAAAAAATAAATATACCATTATTTCCAACAATCCCCCACATGAATGAAAATTCAATGTATGATAATGCAGACGCTAGTTCAAGTATAAGTGAAAGGTTACTACATCTAGATAAGTAGCCAGTGGCCTTGAACTTTCCATAGTGACAAACTATCAGATTTACTTGGCTATCTAGTGGACATGATGTCTTTGAACTGTCAGCCGTTTGTGTAAACCAAGACAATAGAATTCACACAATATCCCTTTGATCACAGTTGGTTCTCACATTTGTATTCATTTTAGCCTTAAACACCACTTGGTTTCATGAGTAATTTTAGAGTAATCAACCTACAATTTTCATAGAAACGACCCCTTCTTTACTCATATAGGTGATTTTTTATTAAGAGTATCCTGCTATACCCCACTTGAATATTTTCAAGTCACATAATATCATTAAGAGTGTAACTTAACCTAGTTCTCTCGGCAAATTTGCATTGTATCATCATATGAATGAGAAGGAGTTTAGAAAATCTCCTCATTGCATATTGAGTTACATATAATTCGGTAGTCCCTTTGAACTTAGATCTTGGGATCTTCAGTTAGCTAAGTGGGGTTGCCATTATAGTGACTTCTAGTTAAGTAATAGGCTTTAAGTTCATTCCCCTCGATGAACTTTCTACTTGCTCTCTAGTCAAATCTTTTGTATGCGGATCCGTAATATTATCCTTTGACTTCATATAGTCAATGGATATAATACTTTTAGAGAGTAATTGTCTAACGGTATTTGTCTATGACGTATGTGTCTAGACTTACCGTTATACATACAATTCTGTGCCCTTCCAATCATAGATTGACTATCATAGTGAATGCATATTGCAGGCACAAAATTTGACCAATTTAGAATATCCTCTAAGAAGTTACGAAGTCATTCTGCTTCTTTTCTAGCTTTATCTAAGGCAGTGAACTCAGATTTTATTGTAGATCTAGCAATACAAGTTTGCTTTGAGTATTTCCAAGACACGACAGTATTACCTAAGGTAAAGACATATCCATTCGTGGATTTTGAATCTTTAGTGTCAGATATCCAATTAGCATTGGTATATCCATCAAGTACTGTTGGGTACTTCGTGTAGTGCAAACTATAGTCTTGAGTATGCTTTAAATATCCCAAAACTCTAATAATTACTTTTCGGTGGTGTTTTCAAGGATTACTTGTATATCGACTTAGCTTACTCACTAAGTATGCTATATCCAGACAGGGACAATTCATTATGTACATTAAACTATCAATTATATGTGCATATTCTAACTGTGATATGCTATTACCTTTATTCTTAGAAAGATGGATATTAACATTGACAGGTGTTCTCATAGGTTTTATCTCATACTTCTTGAACTTATCAAGTACTTTTTCAATATAATGAGATTGACCTAACATGAGTCCATCTGACGTTCTAGAAATTTTAATTCCTAATATAACGTTAGCAACACCTAGGTTTTTCATTTCAAACCTATTTGTCAACATACGCTTGGTAGCTTTAATGACATCGTTATTGTTGCCTATAATTAGCATGTCATCAACATAAAGACATACAATAACGTATTCAATATGAGTGCTCTTGACATATACACATTTGTCACACTCATTTATTTTGAACCCATTTGACAACATTGCTTTGTCAAATTTTTCATGCCACTGCTTCGGTGCTTGTTTTAAACCATACAGAGATTTAACAAGATTGCATACTTTCTTTTCGTCCATTAGCAATGAACCCCTCAGGTTGTTCCATGTATATTTATTCATCTAATTCACCATTTGAGAATGCTTTCTTTACATCCATTTGATGTATTTCAAGACCATTCAATATAACTATAGCAATTAACATCCGTATGAAAATAATTATAGTAACTGGTGAATAAGTGTCAAAATAATTCAATCATTCTCTTTGTTTATATCCTTTGGCTACAAGTCTAGCTTTGTATTTGTCAATGGATCCATCGCTTTCTTCTTCTTTTTAAAAATCCATTTACAACCTAAAGGTTTGTTACCTAGTGGAAGATCCATGATTAGTACTTAAAAGTAGCATTTTACTATGCCTTTTTTAGACTAATTGTACTTCAATGGAGTTTAAGTGGTGTCATTTCAGGTCCTAAAGTGAACAAGTGCTCAAAGAACAACAAATATCACATTTGAGTGTAATGCCAGTACATTAAGGAGCAAAGTTGGAAAAGCTTGGACCATGCCAAGAACGTTCGAATGCCAACTCATGTTCGAACGTCCACTTGAGTTATGAGAAGACCAGACTGCTAAGACATGGCGTATTGCAAACAAGAAGGAAGACTCTACAGTACTTGAGTATCACGTTCGAACGCCCACTTGATTTGATTGAAGACCAGAGTGATGAGTGCAAAATGCCAAGTTCTGCATGAAGTGTAGAAGTGAGTTTCCACAGAAGACCACATGCCACTTGAATGATGTGATCAAATCTCATTTGGCGTTCGAACGCCCATAAGGCAAAGACAGAAGGAACGTTCGAACGTCATAAAACGTAAAAACGTCCATAAAGCCAAAATAGAGATAATGTTTGAACGCCAATTAACGTTCGAATGTCCTCTACAGACTGACTGCAGAGTAGTTGGTTTTTCACTTTGACTTGGGTGGCATACACTATTCCTTCACCCCCTCTTGTCCCCCTTCCTGCCTATAAATACCCCCATTTTGAGAGAGTAAAGGGGGCTTGGTAGAGAGTTTTGATGGAGGCTAGACTCCCACTCTTAAGAGCAAAATTGTAGAATTGTTGTATGTTTACTTGTAGTTGTTCTTGAAGTTAGTTTGGCTTTAGACCAACACTTCTTAGTTTGTTATGAAAGTAGTCTTAAATTTATGCTTTCAATTACTTGCAAGAAGATAGATAG